TTTCAACATGTCTGGAATGCTCCTGTTTGGTATACCATCAAATATTCACACAACTTCGCCCATCTTGAAGAATATACATGGTTCTTAATGGGATTCCTCAACACCTAAGATTATTATTTTGCTTTGTGAGTAAATATATGAAACAGCTTTTTGGATAAAAATACTGTCAAAAAAACAATGACAGACTCACCGAATGAAACAGGTAATTTCGGAAATTAAATGAGATATAGTATCCAAATACGATTTAAATGATAGTTCATAAAATAGAGAGTAGAGTGCTTTAACATACACGATTATACATATTTCTTGATATTAGGTAGAGGTTTGAATAGATCCTGTAAATACATAAAGTACGTGGGTTATAGCATCCAAATACGACATAACCACATATTCCTTAAGGAACAGAATACAGATATGAAATGCAATTGGCGATACTCTAATTTATGGACGACCTTTGAACGAATCTTCAGTGACCTTGAGAAATATTAGCCAATCAGCTCCAGTACAATCACAAGGAGTCACACTTTTCAAATGCTGGGATTCCAAAGGTACTCCTGGGCAGAATACAGGCAAACTAGTTGCGCCAGCACATACAGTTGGTGCAGACTGGCAAGAGACCAATCCACAAGGACGATAAAATAGGCTTAAGTATATCATTAATCTAATTGGTAAATTTGTCTCCAATCCGAAAAGCTTATCCTGTCATGCAGCTCACCTTCGACAAGCCGAAGCCAAAGTTTCCTAGTTGTAAGGTTTTATTGACTTAACAACGGCGGCGATGACACAGAGCTCCTGAGAGAATAATATTTTCAAGATTCTAAATGTTGTGTACAGATCACATCAAAGAGAGCTCCATCTTTAACCCGAGAGGAGTTTAGGGAGTGAACCTATGCTCTGGAATGATGCATCAGAAACTACAGAATCAACATAAGAAGAGGCTTTAATTTCAGAAATACCAGTCCTTGCGATGTTAGCACACCTTAAGCCAAGGCACTGTTCCAGACAGTCGGAAGCTGGTGTACATCATAAAAATTTTCTACGACGGTCCATTTAGTGAACCTTCAAGTCACTGGTGGGAAACAATCCTGTCGATAACCCAGGACACTATGAAGCCTTCGACATACGACGGTCCGTATTATTACTCTCTATCTGTAAATTCCTATTCATTCCAACAACATGGTTCCGAGAGAGATCATGTTTGCACAACCAACCTGCTGCCGACTCTACAAGTTCAGAATCAACTTGACTTTTTCTTAGACTACAAAATGTCCTTCTGAAGCTCAGTTCTAGGACTTCTGTTTCCAATCCATATAATTGACCTTTTTTCAGAAGTTATCATTAATTAATTTTCGCTGACGATGGTAGGCTTTGAAGAGAAGTTTGAGATCAAGATGACAAGCAGACACGTCGGGAAGATTTAATTTTAGTTCAAAGTTGGGAAGATAATAACCGATTAAGTTTAAATACTTGAAATAGTAACTTTTTCATGCCAGTAGATAATTTTCGTTCTATTGGTAGAAGAAATGAGACTAACAGTGAATGGGTCTTTATTTAGATCTCGAGATAGTCTCAGTGGTTCATGGGATTACCTGTCCAAACACATAAAGCCTTTCAACATTAAATATAAGATAACAGGAAATATAATACCCATACTAAATAAGTCAATGAGTACCTGAGCTCTATTGCATCGACATATACTTAATTGTTTGAGGTCAACTCTTAACAAATCAACCTAAACTGTTACAAATTAGGCCGTGTGAGATATGATGTGAACTACGCATATAAGCTGAATGATTCCCCTCTGAAGGTATCTCAAGTTCAGAAAGATCTCAGAGTCCTGGTTTTAAAGTCTTATTCTAGTTGTGATGAAAATGCCTAACGAGCAAATCTTACGCTGTCAACTTTTGAAGAGAGTTTTTGTCAAGTTCGACAATAGGGGTTTTCACCTAATCAGTAACACTTTTATTCGGTCGTATTTAGAATGTAGAAATATAGCGTTTTCTCTGTCACTTCAAAGGGACAATAGTACACTGAAACATATCCAAAGGGGAGCCACGAAATCCGTATGGAGACTAAAATGCAAAAGTTAAGAAGAACGGATCAATTCATTTGATCGCGACCCAATTAAGTATAGATGTCTCAGAAGTGACCTAATGACTTACAGTATTACCAACACTACTAGGCACCCCTTAATCAAGTGACCAGTCATTACTAAAATATACTTGTTTCTCCTTTTGGTTAGTCCCAAAATGCCGATCCTCACTATTTCGTTTGGGTAGCCTGGATTCTTACTTACTGATGGGGGACACGAGTTGTCCTTTGTGCTCATAATCATTTTATATGTCTTACAAGCTCTGATGTAATTACGTATGTCTTTCTTTCGTTCAGGCCGCCAGTATCTACGTTTGTTGGCCATGACCAAAGTCTTCATGGGCTTTACCCACAATGAAAATATAATACTTTATCTGTTATCATTCAAATTTTCCACACGGTCCATAGACATCTGCCTTCCAAACTAACACCTTGAATTTCTGCTGAAGGTGACCGAGAACTCTGGTTTGTTGAAGCGTTACACATTATTGAAGTTTTCGGATCTGTTTTCTGAATATGAGCCCATTCAATAATTTCTGTAGTTTTCAGCTCTATTATATTCGTTGTCGAAGCACAGTTTTCATGAGGTTTAGCTGCTCTGCATGCTTAAATGTTCAAGTTTTAATTCTGTTTAGTGGGCCAATAGATGCACTCGTAGTCATGTTCTTCTAAACACTCTTTCCACTTGGCAATTCGCTCTTCGTGATCTCTAAAATTCTGCGACCATTTTAAAGCTTTATAATTGTTTCCGATAGTAAACATATATCCCAAAAAGTAATGCCTGAAGTAGCGCACAAAGTGGACCACTGTTGGCATCTCTTTTCGTGTTGCGCAGTAATCTTTCTCTAGCCTATATGGCATTTGGCCTCCACATGTAATAACTCTTTCTTTTCCGTCAAAAGAAACTTACGATAATACTTTACTGATAGTTTGGTCGCTTTTATCGATGCCTAAGTTGAAACGGCCGACAGTAGGAATAGAGTCTAGACAATCGAAAGATTGTTGTCAATTTGCGGTCCATTTTCAGTCCTCTCTAAGTAAGGTGGGAAGGAAAGGTGGATTCTCAGGAAACCTTTTGACAAATCCATAATAATTTGCTAAACCCAGGGAGCTGCGAAGTTCATTTGAATTTTGTGAAACAACTTAGTTTCGGACGGCATCGATTTTTTTGCTATTTGAGTGTGTCCTTGATTGTCAACGAAATGAAGGAGGAATCTAACTTGCTTCCTCAGCAGGCGATATTTAAATGGTTTTAGTTTAATACCAACTTCTCAAGGCAGTCTAAAACTATTTGAAAATTTTATGTGTCCTTTAATGGTTGTTTTGTGTGTCATAACATCACCTAAATACACCAAACCAGCCGGCTTTATATGAATTAACCATTGGAAAGTAGAATGTGCACCAGTTAGTACAAACGGTTTTGTTTGAAACACATATATACTAGATAATAAGGTGAGAGCCGTTATATGTTGGTCACCTGGATGAGATTCGACTTTTCAATAATCAAATGTTAAATCTGATTTTGCGAGCCGCTTTCGAACCACCTAGTGTATCTAAGGTATCGCTTACTCGTGGCAATAAAGGAAGAACCACGTTTTTCAATCCCAATAAGTTTTCGATAGACGACGCTCAGTCTCAAAATTTTGTTCTTTTTCGCTAACACAGATGAGGCTGCCCAAGGTGATATGGACGGTGTGATTATGTTACGTGCTAACAGGCCGTTTGTCATATCATCAAGAGCTTCTTTAAACTGTACAGATACACGATGAAGTGCTTGGCTAAATGGTTTTGCACTTCCAGTACCACAGCCATCCTGAGCCCGATATCTTTTCACTATCAAGCAAATATGTCATAAAACGTTTTAAAATTTCTTCTATTAATCCACATGCTCCAAAGGTCAATCCACAAGTAAAGATGAGATATCATTTGTCTCCATTCGGTTAACATTAATCATTATTTTAAGATTAAAAGCTTCTTTCTATTTATAACAGCTCAGTTTACAAGATGAATTCCGAAAGGCAAATACCTTTGCCTTTGAGTTTAAGCATCCCTCACAATTCGTTAACAAGTCTGTACCTAGAACCACGTCCGAAGATAGACTCTGAACACCCAATCTATCTTCCATGTAAGTTGGTTGGTCCACAGCCTATCGTAACGTTATTTTTCTCCTAACAACCATCAATGTGTCGTTGGCTGCGCTCAGACGTACATTGTAGGCACCATCCAGGCACACATAATAAGGAACTAGAGCACTGCTGATTAACGAACATACTGCATCCGACTGAACGACTAAATAACTCTCCACATAATGTTGGGGCAAGGGGCTTATAATCAACATACGAAACTAACGGAACATTTCGCATATCTACCTTCGAGTTCTTCTTGCTCCCAGTGTGGACATCGAATACTTATTGGGCGAATGATTCGCACTTCCTAGGCATTTATGAAGCGGGAAGTTCTCAGAGAAACGTAGAGACCTATTGTGGCAATTTCACTACGCAAAAACTATGATCACAGATGCCTGTTACTTCAAAGTTGCTTCCTCACGAGTGGCTTTTAAGCTTTCAGAAGCTTGTTTCATAAACCTCCTTTGTAGTAGCTACAAAAACCCGTAAGAAGCAAAGTTGCCTTCTGTGGAGATATTCAGCGCTAGCGACACTGTTGTTTTTCATCACAGGAACCCAGAACAGTCAAATCAGCAAGTGATGCAACTAAATAGGATAAAGTACATGGGATACTACGTTTTTTAAACACGAAAAAATCAGCAGAACAGAATTGGATACATCCAAAAGGACTGGGATAACTCACAAGTAAGCATAATGAGGAATATACTGAGTCAAAAAGACATGTTGCGGCTTACATTCAGAACATAAGAAACACCATTCGATATTTTTGACTAGAACGTTTGAGTTTTAGGAATAGGCGGGGATATTAAAAGTTTGCGATGCAAGGAGTTAATTTACACTGCCCGTTAGTTATCAAATAAGCATGTCACTCATGAGAATGGAATCACAAAATATAGAACAAAATGTTCCGAGTACAAATTCTAGTGGTGATAGTCCGACGACACTTATCTATGGTTTACCATCTCTTTTCACATCTGAGATTTTATATGACGGACCTAAACGATGTATACTCAAGACAAATGTGGATAAGATATCTTCTAGCGGCACTTCAAATAATATGAATGGAGGTCATCGAACAGATACGGATTACACGGGATTATGCCACAAAGAATGTTTTTCTGTCCCTCATATTCGCGAATTAACAGACAGTACAATAAAGGAAAATGTGGCTAGCTCTCAAAGCAACGAAGCAAGAGGATCTTGTGATTCGGTGACATGTTTTTCAGAACACGAGTTGTCCGACATTCCTTTGAGTTCCAATGACGAAAACAGAGTGAATTTTGATGTATCGGATATTTCGAAACAGTTGGTTCTATTGTCCCCTTTTTCTGGAAAAAAGTTCGCGACCATCCGTTCAGATAGCAGTTATGTCCCAATTGCGTCTAGTTTTTTAACGGAAAAGGATAGTGCTTGTGTTCGGTCCCGGGGTGTGATGCAGCAAAGTACGTTACAGCCAAAACATATCACTGTAACAATGCCTACTGTAGAAGATGGTCTCTCAAGTGGCAGTGACACAGGTAGTCCGTGTCTTATTTCAAGATCTCACGTGAAAGACTGTTCATTCGATATGCGCTCGTTTTCTGGTAGCCCTGATTCAGTCACAGACATTTACTGTGGGAGACCTACCATTAATTCAAGTTCTGGTAGTCTCGATGGAGAGCATTTGCTAAATCCTGCCATAGTGCAAGATATTTCAAACGATATAATGGATATTAAAAGGACTTTAGGTGCTTCTGACCACGCAAAAACATACATTCCTACATGTGAACAAAATGTTGTAAATGCCGTAAATACGAGCAAATCAATAGAACAAAATATCAATCCAAAATCTCCTGACAGAGTAAATGGCTGTCATTGTATTGAGATGAAAACCGGATTCACACCTTCAGATGTATCTCATGATAATAAAATCTCTTCCTCTAGCCGTAATTGGGATATGTTTAGTGACCAGTAAGTAGAAAGGTTATGTATATGCATATTTAATTTATAAAACTTTAGCGGTCTTTATGTAGGCCAATTTATTACCAGCACGAAAAAGAGCTTTGTAGGTAGTCGTCATGTTTTTGTGTATCATGAGATTCTTAATTTCTATCGATTTTCATTAATAGAAACCGAGTAAACCATGGTTACTAAATAGTTTGGTTGACTAGGACACAACTGAATACAACTGGTACAATTCAAGTACTAGAATTTATTTCATTTAATTTGTGGCACAAAATTTGGCTATTACAACATGTTACCGAGTAGTATCACTCAAAAAGATGACAGTAGCAAAGCCGAAATGATTGATGTTGCGAACTAACGTATAACAGTAAAGTGGAATTATAATCCATCCAGTGAAGCTATAATACTTATGAGCTTTTCTTTTTCAAAAACCAAGATTGTTAAACAATAGGCATTGCATAAGCTGATCGAATGACATGAGATGCGATTCGCATTACATTCAAATATAGGTTTTTGCACCCTAGTATTCAGTCAGTCAGTTACAACGTAAAACCTGGTACGTATGTACATCGGTTCAAGTTGCCATACCCTATTAGTACAGAGGAATGAGATTGTCACACTAAATCCCAGAATACTAGAGACAACATGAGTAGTAATAGGAAAGACCATGCATCAAAGATACGATCTGGGAAGAGAAGATAAATTATCTAAATGAAAACAAAAAGAGGGTATGAGGAATTCGGAATCTTAGGATTTGGAGTAAGACAAAGAATGGATGCACCTGCTTCAGTGCTCACAATTTTGGGCCATATCATATAGTCTCCAGTCACTGGTTACAATAATCACGCAGACACAACCAGGTTGTCTACACCTATGAACATAACTCAATCCAGTTGTCGGTGGTTTCACAGCTGATGTCGTGTTTTGGTTTGACCACCCCGACCTTTGTTCCAGTCTACTCTTGCACCAGAAAATATCGCCTGTCAATGCAGACAGTGATTGGGCACACGTAACACATGTCCCAGATGTCCTCAGTTGGTGAAGATTCCTTACCACATCAATCGCTTTGCCATCTGTACCTAGTAACCCGTTCGTATTCCAGAAATTGCTTAGTTTGTGGTCCCAAACTACACGAGGAATGCTTCGTAGATGCCTGTGATCGAATACCAATAAACTACAAATGTCTTCTATTTGTAATGACCATGTTTCACATCTGTGAAAGCATGTTATCACAAAGTTGAATAAAAATTGGGAAAGCGGATAATTCTGACAAACATTACTTGAAGTGTGCGATTCTGATGGCACTTTTGCATAAGCTCTGACTCGACCAGTAGTGTCCGAGTAAAGCCTGTATGAGGTTGATGTACATGTTTTGTACGCCTTTGAATGACAGAACCTCATGATCAATAGAGTTGAACGTCACCTTTAGATAAAGGAATACAGCTATAGTCGGGCATCGAAAGGCATATTCATGTTCCAGCACCTATCGAAAGGTGAATATTTGGTCTGTACATCCACATCTATGTCTGAAAGCAGCTTAATTTCCTCGGATTTGCTCTTCACGAGCTCTAGTCAGACTTAAAAGTGTTATTGAGACAAGTATATTAGACACTATATTGTTTAAACTGATTCCTTTGATTGTCACTAAAGAATTTTTGTCCTTTCTTATATTCTGATAAACCGGGACTGTCAGCGGTTGAGACCAGTCTGATGAGATTACATCCAGTTCCAAGATTTCAGTTAAAATTTTAATTAATAAAAAAGGAACGAATTGAGCGAAGAAATTTCTTTTCAATTAGTTTTTCATCACGGCTCTACACTAATATATACATATATATGTTTTACAATAATAATATAATACTCATCGAGTAGATACGTTACGTAATAATTACATAATGACATTTAAATTAACATTGAGTAATTGGAAGAAAGAGGATTATTAATATTCAAAGTAATCAAGAAGTTGCTATGTTGCGTAATATAAGAAACAAAGAAGGAACAGAATTTTAACGGATGGTCAATAGGATAGTAGTTACGTAAGAATCAAGAGATGAATGTTGAGAAGTTATAAGGTTCAAAAGCACTAGAAACAAAATTACAAAAATTTTAAAAAAAGAAGTGGAAGAAGTATGAAAAATAGTTCTTATGACGGAAATTTTATACTAAAGGCCAGGGCAGAGAAAGTGGTTGTACGAATTTCTTTTGGATACAAAGGTCAGGTTTGTGAACATGGATTGCGATGGCTTCCGCAATGTGCAAAAGGCACACTCGTAAACCATGTGGTAGATTTGGTGGAATATTGTAGATAACCCTTAAAGCTTTATTCGATTCGACTTGATGACCTGTGTCAACCAAGTGAGAGAGAGTATAACTTTTAATCACTTTCACCTGTCTGTTGCTTAGCCATGTCGGATGATGTTCTGTAATGCGGTGACGGACCTGCCGAATTGTACGCCCTATGTAACTGGCTCCACAGGAGCAGTTGAAACAATAGATACACATAGATTTGGCGAATTCTGGCAGTCTGTCTTTAATGGATGTTCTTATTTTCGGGTGGTTGTAGATGACATTTAATTTGGCAGCATTAAACGTTTTTTGTACAGCTCTTAGTAGTTTCTGAGTCATGACTTCTTCAATAGTGTCATTTATGGATTGTAGTTTTATAAATAATACCTTCTTGGAGACGGTGGGTGTATTTACCCTTGTTTTCTCCGTCATATGTTTGTCGACGAATTTCATGGGGTACCCATTCAGACTGAGTAGGTTCCGAATATTGTTCAATTCTTCTTCAATGGTGTCTTCAGAGCAGGTCATTCTAGCACAATGTATCAAGATCTTTATCAAGTTCCTTTTGTATCTGATTGGAACTGCACTGTGGAAATGAGTGTATTGACCTGCTGCTGACTTTCTGTGTACCCTTCTTTTCATAGTTCCGTCTGTTCTCCTAGTCAGTTGGACGTCTAGAAAAGATATGCTATTATTCTGTTCATCTTCTCATGTTAAGTTAATTGAACCTTATAACTTCTCAACATTCATCTCTTGATTCTTACGTAACTACTATCCTATTGACCATCCGTTAAAATTCTGTTCCTTCTTTGTTTCTTATATTACGCAACATAGCAACTTCTTGATTACTTTGAATATTAATAATCCTCTTTCTTCCAATTACTCAATGTTAATTTAAATGTCATTATGTAATTATTACGTAACGTATCTACTCGATGAGTATTATATTATTATTGTAAAACATATATATGTATATATTAGTGTAGAGCCGTGATGAAAAACTAATTGAAAAGAAATTTCTTTCGTTCCTTCTTTATTTACCAAATGGCAAAATGGGAATTTTCACAAAATTTTAGTTAATCTGACTTCTGACACTGGACTATTGTCCTTAAAAATCTTAGGGGTTAGTCTATCAGGCTCTGATGCTCTCCCTCGCCCTAGATTACTTATAGTCTATTCAACCTCACTATGAGTTGGAGGACTCGCATCAGTTGGCTGAAGGCCAGTTATACGTTTCCTCAAAGTGCTCAGCCCATCGGTCTGATCTCCTGAACTGGGAGTGAATATTAGTCCCGTCTTTTCCAAGATAGTTTCACTAACAGCCAGGAATTTCAGTACTCGTTTTCTTTATAAATCTGAATAGTTGTCTATTGTTACCTGTCGCTTCTCCCACTTCCATCTCTCTTGCTTTCGCTACCTACCCCTCCTCACGATCATTACGTGGGCTTTCCATCAGCCTACATTTAAACTGCCTCCACTCGTCGTGTTCAGAGCCAGGTGGGGTGGATTTCCTAACATCAGTTCTGTAGATGCTGTCGAAATCCGCTTACTTTTCTTAACCTTTTAGTTTAAGTTACTAAGAGATATCACTTTTGTTTTCACAGCATTTTGGATATCTCCAGTTGTTCCTGAAATATATGAGCCTTTCAATTATTAGGTTGAACTCTCAATCGTTTCCTTACTGTAGGTTTTCTACGTTCGGTAAGTTGAAGACAAATACGTGCCTGAACTAGAGCATAATCCGAGTCTAAACATGTGCTCCAGAATAAGCTATAGTCTTTAATCGTGCCCCCCCAATGATGTCTAATGGTAGTGTGATCTATTTGAGTCGATCGATGAGACAATTGTGGAAGTTGCCGTCAGACGATGTTTCTCCCTATGCTTATAGCTGGTGTTTCCCAGAAATAGATGGGCATAGTTGCAATAGATAATCGCCTTTGTCTGTTCGCTGAGCCACAACACCGTAAGATTCGCTCAAGAAAAAAATATAAAAAGCCCCCAAATGCCTTGGTACGGTCGAGAGTGAGGAGAGTCCGTCCACCCTCTCGAAATGCTCTCACGTGGCCACGTGCATTCAACCACCGCCTTCTCGCGGCGGGGATGTTGTTTACGAAATTGAGAGGATAAAAGCGAACGTCCGGCGCTTTAACCAGTTTGGTGGACATAGAGAGTCTGCCTATGGAAGTTGGAAAAGCTTGATTCCAAACCAATAGTGCACACTGGCTCCAGGATCCTGAGGGGACAAATGGAGTAAAAACCAATCGTTAGTCACCGGCTACCATGGGACTGCATCTCCTTACGTTGCTCCAATGCCTTGTGGATCAGACCTTCATGTCGAAGACTCCGGGTGTGGTCCTTAAGAAAACCACCCGCTTCGGTTTGGGCACCCGGGCAGTGTCGTAGCCCTCACACATATCAAATGAGATTTGTGTGGCTCATATGTATTTGGTGCCTCCTTGTACCAACGTCTATGTGTTTAAATAAATAAACTTAGGCATTTAAATCGCCTGCCACAATTACTAAATCAGAGCGTCTAGCTTTTTGAAGGAGGTTGAATAGCTTCTTGTAAAATTTATCTTTAACTCCGTCCGAGCTGCAATCAGTTGAAGCGTAGACAAAGACGACAAAAAGGCAATGTTATGTGTTCCTATCTTTTTGAGTGCTTACTATCCTGTCTAGTCGAACAACACAAAAGTGACTGTCCATTTTTAGTCAGTCTA